GGAAAATATTAAATATCCCAGGGGTTTACCCAGTTGCACACCCTGGAGCTCAGATTGCACGGAACTGCAGTTGCCACCATGGGCCTCATCACCCCACACGACCACAGAGCCATCACTTAGAATGGCAGCCAAAGCTCGCTTGGTAGATTGAACCTTCTGAACGTTCTGAAGCTGATGTTGTACAGCAGCACTGTTGCCACCACCAGTCCTATCCCCCCAAGAGACCACTGATCCATTCCTGGGTCGTTTTGTAGGTTTGAATTGGGATTATATAGGGGCTATATATAGGGTTTTGGGTGCCTGGGCAAGCATAATGTTCAAGAGCCAAACATGCCTTTCCAAAAAGGATCGAGATTCCAACGTATGGCGGCAAAAGCACGCTCAGCTGACTGGATCTGCTTGACACCTCTCAGCTGATCTTGTACGGGATTGCTGTGGCTACTGCAAGCCCAATCGCCCCAGGAAACCACTGATCCATTGCCGAGAACGGCAGCAAAGGCAAAGTCTGTTGATTGGATGTGCTGCACGTCGTTCAGCTGCTGTTGCACAGCACTACTATCACCACCGCACTCTTTGTCACCCCATGTGACAACAGAACCATCCTTCCGGATCGCAGCAAAAGCATATCTGGTCGACTGGACACAACGCACGTTCTCCAGCTGATCCTGCACGGCTTTATTGTCACCACCGCATTCTTCATCGCCCCATGACACAACAGACCCATCGCCCAGGATGGCAGCAAAAGCACCTGTGTTGGATTGGAGGTGTTGTACGTTCCGCAGCTGCTCTCGCACAGCGCTGCAGTCCCCACCATACGCATCTAGGCCCCATGAAACCACGCATCCATCAGCCTGAATGGCAGCAAAGGCACATTGTGAGGACTTGATCTGTACGACATTCTTCAGCTTGCCTTGCACAGCACTGCTGTCTTCACACGACCGTGCATCTCGACCCCACGTGACAACAGATCCATCACCCTTTATAGCAGCAAAATCTGCGTCGCCTCCGCACACCTGGATGTTGCCTATCTGTAGCGTGAGCAAGTCTCCGTTCTGCAGCCCAGCCATTTGCACTGTGACTGCTTCATCGAGAATGACTCCGGAAGCGTTGCACAAACGTCCAGGGCCTACAGCCAAAGCTGTCTGTGCACGCCGCTTCAGATTGTCCACGCGAGTATCCAGAGTTGCTTCAACTGAAACGGCCCTCCCGCTGATGAGACTAACTTCAACAGTCACAGCCATCCTGACTGTCGGAGACTCTTCGCACTCCCATGAGCAAAAGGCTACAATCAAACACTACAGAAGATCCCTAAATAGTTGCAACTACAACGCACTGATCTCAATGTCCTGCCCCTCGAAGATGCGGGGATAAGGCAGATAAGATAACATGAGGAAGAGGTAATGTAGAAGCCTGAATCTGTGGAAGAATTAATGCTCATAACACCTATCCCTAAACCCCGAACCCCTAAANNCCCTAAACAATAAACCCCTCACCCCTATGCCTACACCTCTGATAGCAGTACATACTCCCCCCTATCCCAAACTGATTACTCAAGCCGCTGTAGGATGCAAAAGGCTCAAGGCCGGTACGTGCGCTCGAATTATAAAGGGGCTATACAGGAATATAGCCTGATATCAGGGGTCTAGGGATAGAATGGTGGAGCATCAAATGGCAACGGACATGGACACTAGGATTCCCCTAAACCCTAAAC